CCCCCAGTCTCTGTCTTTCTTTGTCCCTTGACTGGGCAGCCTCTGGGACGTGCACGCCATGCGGGCAGCTTGGCGAGGTCACTGAGGCGCATCAGAGGCAACGGTGCCAGGCAGCAAAGATGAAGGCTCGTCCTGCCCCGGCCCTGCCCCGTGCCCTGTGCCCTGTGCCCCGTCCCCTGTGCCCTGTGCCCCATCCCCTGTGCCCTGTTCCCTGGCCGGCAGAGAGGCCGAAGGAGACCTTGCCTCTTCCATCAAGCAGGGCAGCCGGGAGAGCATTAAATTAGGGACTTGGGCAAAACGTTCAGTTGCTCTGTCCTTGTGCAGAATGAACTCGCTGCAACCAGCTGGAAAAAAAAAAGCTGAGCTTTTAAAGGGGTCTGAGCCCCAGGGCCCAAGCGGGAGGCTCCCTCCTCCTGCAGCTCTCCCGCACCAGCTGGGCACCCTACTGTTCAGCGCACTCCTGACATCACCCACCCAGACGCTGCGCCGGTTCGAGGGACTGGCTCAGCCCTAGGAGCCCGCCCCCGCTGCAGAGGCCACCTGTGATCCACCCGCTGGCTCTGAATCAGGCTCCCAGGGCCCCCGCCTGGGAGTGAGTGGTTTCTAGGGGGCTCACAGAACTCAGAGGAGCGTTTACGGACTGGAGGACGGGTTTACTGCAAGAGGAAGGAGTCAGGCCCAGGCGGAGGGAAGAGATGCACAGGGCAAGGTGTGGGAAAGGGGCTGGAGCTTCCTCCCCGGGAGCCGCTGTCCCTAAATGTCCACGTGACGTTTCATGGACCCCGAAGGTCTCTGAACCCATGCTTTTGGGTTAAAAAAATTTTTTTTTTTTTGGTTAGAGTTTATTTGAGCCCTGGCCAGTTTGGCTCAGTGCTTGAGCACCGGCCCACGGACCAAAGGGTTGTAGGTTCAATCCCCGGCCCTGGTCAGGGCGTGTGTGGGAGGCAACTAATCAATGTCTTTCTCAGGTGGATGTTTCTCTCTCTTCCCCTCCCACTCTCTCTAAAAATCAATGGAAAAAAAATATCCTTGAGTGAGGATTTAATAAAAAAAGAGTTTATTTGGGCCAAACTGATGACATATTCCAGTGGGCAAGATCTGAAATGCTCCGGGTCTGGGTTTCTATGGAGGCGCATGCATTTCACAGGTGCCGCTGATTAACTCAGTGGCTACAACTCCCGGAGACCAGGGTGTGGGGCTGAGAGTTCAGACCCTCTATTTACGGTCAGTTCCCCTGGCAGCCAGCCTCCATCCTCAGGTGCTTTTCCAAAAGTCGCCCTGTTAACGTAAATCCAGTGGTGGCGACACCCTTTCGCCTGCGTGGCTCAGAGATTTCAGGATCTGGGGACTAGAGACCAAATACTGAAACAAAAGGCTCCAAGGGTTTGGGAGGTGCGAGCCAGGAACTGGGGTGACAATGAAATATATACAAAATATATACTGGTCATCCGAATGACCAACTAGATTTCTTATAAATCATAATAGCTCACTTGCCTTTGTGGCAGCAGGGTTTGTATATTTTATTAAACACGTGGAGGAAGCCCTGTTCCAATTCCCTCCCGTTTCAGTGTTTGTGCGAAGTCACCTTTAATTCACCCTGGAGGACCCCTGGGTGGGGGGCACCCGCCACACCCGCCTGATGACATGCGTGTTGTTGGAACATCTCGACCTCGGGTTGGGAGCTGCAGGAGGGCCTGCTCACCCACAGCCCCAGGTGACCGAGCCTGCCCCTCTCCTCCCCAGGGAGCATGGCTGACTCGCCCAGGGAGGGAAAACTGGCCAGGTCTCCGGACTTCATCCAGCTGATCGACATGGCGTCTGAGTCTGTGGGAGGAAAGGTAAGCAGGTGTCCCGTGGCAGGAACAAGACTGAGTGAAGCCACGCTAGGGACCCACTCACCACCGAAGAGAAGCCAGCAGGGGTCAGGCAGAGGTCCCGCCTCCCCCTCGGAAGCCCACGACCCCAGAAGCCTTCTAAAAACTTGCCTTCAGTTGGTGAAATTCTGAGCAAGGGCATCCCTGCCTTAAGTTTTTTTTAAAAAGGTCATTTTGTGCCTGAGAAAAGAATTCACGATCCCCGTGTGGGTTCTGTTACAGTGTAAAGCTGCGGTCTTCAGACCTAGTGTGAGAGTCCCCTGGAGGCCTCGTGGCCACACTGCTGGTGCGGGCAGAGGGCCCGAGGCACCGGCGATGGGCAGCGACACTAAGCTCCCAGTGATGTACAAAGGCAGGAAGGTGCCAGCACCGGGCAAAGTTGCTAAGATACCAGGAACGTGCGTAGGTTCTCAGGTACCTGCAGTGTGCAGCCGGCACTGTGGTGTGAAGGGAAAGACCCACACCTGCCCTCACCTCCGTCCCTGGGCAGCTGGGGGGGGCAGGGTGGGAAGAGCTCTCCAGGTGAGTGATGCTCAGAGCGGGGAGGGGCCTGGCAAGGAATGAAGGGGTGAGGGGTTGTTTCAGACGGAGGGTGCCGCCAGGGGCACAAACAAACCAGTCGCTTTGGCGTTTCCGGAACACTCCGGCTGTCTGTGGGGTGGAGTGGGAGCCTGAGCCTGCAGAGGCGCGAGAGGTCCCAGGTGCTGGAGAGCGCTTCCCTGACAGGCCTGGAGCAGGGCAAGGACTCCTGCAGGTCCGCTCACCTGTGTGTCACCCTGACTCATTCTCAGGGCAGGTCCCCCCAGCACAGCAGGTCCTCACCTGCTTTTAGGCTCTGGGCTGGAGTCAGGCCAGTGCGCTGGGCCCCCTCCAGGCTGCAGCTGTCCCTGGGTCCCGGGTGAGACAGGATGGCCAGCAGCCCGTTTTTTCCTGGGAAAATCATTTCACACCTGCTTTCTCAGTGTAATTTGGGGCGCAGCATGGAACCCAGAAATGTCCTGTTTTGGCTGATGAATTCCCAGCCAGCCTGCCAGCAGGGCGTCCTTCACGGGCCAGGCCAGAGGCTGGTGCGAGGGGCACGAGCCCCCTGCCCTTGGTCCTCGAGAGGAAGAAAGGTGCTTATTTCCCTCCCGAGTGTGAGAAGTTAGCGCCTGGCATCCAGATGGCAAGGGGCGAGGGAAGAGGGCGGGAGGAAAAGGTCCCCGGGAGGCAGGCGCTGACACCTCAGCACCCACAGCATTGCAGCTTCGTGCACAGCGTCTCGTCCCCGGGGCGAGTTCGCGGTTCCCTTTTACTGCATCTCATAAAGCTTCCCTAGGGCGTGGTTTTTAATTTATGGATAAAGTGGTTTTTAATTTATGGTTATTTTATCTTCTTTATTTGCCTAGGTTTTGTTTGCAACAGACGACTTTTTTGCTCCTGCAGAAAACCTTCTAAAGGTGCTGTACGTGGGCCCGCGGGACGCGCGGTGCTGGCCGGAGGGGCGCTGGGCGGCGGGAGAACTAACCTCCCGGGACCGTGGGGGCGGAGTCAGGGCTGTGCGCAGGGAGCCTGCGTGGAGCGGGGTCAGGGCTGCATCCAATGAGCGGGCATGGGGGCGGAGTCAGGAAGGCATCAATGAGCTGGTGTGGGGGCGGAGTGAGGGCCCCATCCAATCAGCTGGCATTGGGGCGGAGTCAGAGCTGCACACAGCGAGCTGGCGTGGGGGTGGGGTAAGGGCTGCATCCAATGAGCTGGCCTAGGGGTGGAGTCAGGGCTATATCAATGAGCAGGAACGGGGGTGGAGTCAGGACTGCATCCAATGAGCGGGCATGGGGGCGGAGTCAGAGTTGCATCCAATGAGCTGGCGTGGGGGCGGAGTCAGGGCTGCACACCTTGAGCTGCGTGCGAACAGCAGACGCAGGTAGGAGTCAGTGTCGGCTCAGGATGAGGCACAGCAGACCCAGGCGGGGACCCCACACGGAACTTTGGGGCCACATTGGTTTATGGGGGAAGTTACTGAGTTCCTCACCTATTGCTCCTGGAACGTGGGGGTCAGAATCTGCGTTGGGGAGAAAAGTACACATCTTGCATTTTTTTGGAAAATGTTTACCTGCCTGATACTAAAAGTGAAGGACATGTTTATTTAAAAATAAAGCAGAGAAAATACTGATCACTAGGGGCAGAAATGGAAGCTCTGTGGGAACCCTGCGGCCTGTCCCACCAGCGTGGGGGGTGAGCATTCACGCGGGGGGAGGTGGCACCAGCCGAGCGCAGCGAGTGCCGCTGCAGCCCGGGTCCCTGGCTGGGGCCGCATGCTGTCCTCCCTCGTGGTGACTGGCCGTCTGGTCACGTGGTGGAAAGGTTCCTCTTTTGGGCAGGACCTGGCCGGGTCCTGAGCACGTTGACGTCTGACTCTCTGAGGGCATCTTGTGCATATTAACTTAGTCCTCGGAGAAATCGATCATAAATCGAGGAACACAGGTGTTAACTGGCTTGTTCTAGGTCACACATCAGTATACATGTCAAAACTTTCACCATTTTACCGTGTGGCTATCTTTGAAAAATGTAAAAGCACATGCACCTTGACTTAGCCATTCCACAGATTTACAAGCGATTCAATGTCATAGCAACCCTGCAAGGAGCGTAGTCACTGTACCCACTCTTACAGACAAGCAGTGGGGGCTCAGCCGTTTGTCCCAGTGACTCCAGGGTCCCTACTTTTCCTCAGGTGGCACCGAGCGGGTCTGATGCTGGGGTTAAGTGCTCAGCTGGACCCAATCCCCCAGACTGCTCTTCATATAACTTTGGCTAAATTTCTTACTAAATCGTCTTTTCTGGGTTGTTTTGGAAACCTGTCCTTTCTCACCTTGCTCAATGGCCTTTTAGGAGGCCCCCAGACTGCAGTGGGAGTTGCACCATCTGTGGGGCCGGTGGATTAACTGTGATGCCCAGTGGTTAGTTCTGTGCTCTGGGGCCTCAGAGCCACACTTTTTTCTCTGAGGGTGACCCAAAGATAAGGAGGCACCTGGTGTGGACCGAGTTACCTGTGCAGGAAGGGAGGGGCAGGCACTCTCAGGCCCAGGAAGGATGCCCTAGGGTCCCCATGTGCAGAGGTCAGGACCCTGGGAGCCCAGGCTCTAGCGCAGATGCTAGTTACTGACTGTGCGTCTTTGCTGCAGAGGGACAGCCCACGCTTCGAAGAGAAAAAATATACCGAGTTCGGCAAGTGGGTGGATGGATGGGAGACCAGAAGAAAAAGGATTCCAGGTAACTAGAGGATGACTCTGTTTGTGCGATATGAGAAGTTTAAGAATGGCTGTTGGAGAGCCGGGGCACATATTGGGTCAGTTTTAACAAGGGGCCCTTGGGTGCTTTTGCCTCTGATGTCCCTTGCGAACATTCAGGAAGGGGCAGTGGAAACCAGGTCACCTGTGTGCCACCAGGCGTGAAGGAGATGCGACATTTGCTGGGAAGGTGACGTGTGCTGAGGGCTGTGGGTAGGGGAGGGCCACGTGCAGACACCACGTGGGACGTGCCTTCACCTCTGGCCCCCACAGTCGGAGACCTTTCTCCTTCCTTCCATTGCTGTGGAAACAGGCTCCTCCCCTTAGCCCAGGCCACGGAATGGGTGAGATAAGCCTGCAAGTGGACAAGGCCTGTCGTAGGCCACTGAGCTCACGGCCTTTTATTCACCTGAAGGTGTCACTTTTTTTTTGTTTTGTTTTGTTAATCCTAACCCAAGGATATTTTTTCCATTTTTTTTTTTTTTTAGAGAGTGGAAAGGCGGGAGGGAGAGAGAGAAACATCGATTAGTTGCCTCCCACACGCTCCGACCGGGATCGAACCTGCAGCCTTTTGCTGTGCGGCCGATACACAAACCACACCGGCCAGGGCAAGATGTTACTTTCATTTGTTGCTACTCCTCAGTCTTTTTTTTTTTTTTTAAATATATCTTTATTGATTTCAGAGAGAGGAAGGGAGAGGGAGAGAGAGAGAGAAAGATTAATGATGAGAGAGTCATTGTTCCGCTGCGTCCTGCATGCCCCTGACCGGGGAACCGCTGAGCCACACCCGGCTGGGCTCTACTCCTTAGTCTTGATCAAAATACTTCTTTTAAAGTGGAAGAAATGCTTGTAAAAGCAAACTAACCCAGCAACAGGCTATAGCCCTAATTCCTATGTCTCAAGTGCTATAGAAATACTGGGTAGTTCTAATGCTCTGTATTTCCTCGTGCTCCGGGCATCATGAGATCCCACTGCTTCTGATGTTGGAAGGTGGGCCTGCATCCGACCGCAGGTGGGGCCCAGGGACACACGGAACTGAGGGTTCTTAGACTTCAGCACACGCATCCCACCAGAGGGTGTTCTGGGTGGGGGTAGGAGAGGAGACCCCTGAGCCTGAGGTGACAGCGAGGCCACCTGCTGAGCCACCTACAGGACAATCATGTTTAAGCTTTTTGGAAGCTAATCTCTCCCAGATCACAGTGGAAGAAGTGAGGCTCAGAGAGGCCAAGCAATTTGCTGAGGACACACAGGAAATGATGGACCTGGAATCAGCACTGGTCCCTCTGAATCCCAGGCCCATCCGTGCTCTGGTCTGAGGAGAACTGGGGATCCCCATGGGGAACGGTGGTCCGGGGGCCACATTCTGAGAGATGGTAATGGGTTCATTTTCCTGTGGTGGGAGGAGGGGCTCCTGTTGGTCATTTGCTTCACCTGGCGACTTGGATGTAATGGGGACCCTCTGTCGTCTGCCTCCCGTAGGTCACGACTGGTGCATCATCAAGCTGGGGATACAGGGCATGATCCGGGGCTTCGATGTGGACACTTCTTTCCTCATGGGAGACTATGCTCCTCGAGTTTCAATTCAAGCTGCAAACGTGGGAGAAGGTGCCTTGGGGACCAGGGGCCCGGGGGTGGCTTTGTGGGGTCGTGAGGCTCATCCGACTGCCTGACCATGCGTTTCCAACCCAGGCAGGCTGGGCAGCTGGTCAAGGCCATTTGGCTGCCATAAGCTTGTGAGTTTGGATTCCCAATAGCCATGCTCTGTGATTTTTGATTTTTAGCCAAGCAATGTTCTTGGACCCCGTTTAGTTTGCATTATATCCTCACTCTTCAGGCCTCACCCAGAGGCCCCGCGAGTCACCGGGAGGGGTCCCGGGTGGTTGCTGGGGAGAGTGGCAGGGTGGCCTAGAGGGTCTGCAGGATGGGGAGCCAGGTCTGAGCCAGCCGTGGGCCCAGTGGCACCAGCCGCTCCCACGATGACGCAGCAGCCACGGGCTTTCAGGGGCTCCTCCTGCATGTGGGAGGCTGCACCCTGGGAGTCCTGTGGCTCCTTAAGTAGGCCTGTTTTTTCCGGTCCTTTCATGGGCATCAGTCCCTGAATTAATTTTTTTACTTTTTAACCTTCACCCAAGGATATTTTTTCCATTGCTTTTCAGAGAGAGAAACATCGATGTGAGAGAGACCTTGGTGGCCTCCTGCACTTACCTCAATGGGGACTGGGGATCAAGCCTGCAACCCAGGTGCTTGCTCTTGGCTGGAATCGAACCTGGGACCCTTCAGTCTGAAGGCTGATGCTCTAACCACTGAGCCAAACCGGCCAGGGCCCAGAATTAATTTTTGAGAATTTAGAGCCATTGTGTGTATACAGACGGGCATGCAGGGAAGATACCTCGTGTCAGCTGGCGAATTTGTGCTAAAAGCTCTGTAGCACCTGAGGCTCCTCTCCTGAGAGACAGCAGGGAACCTGGGTGTGTAAATGATGATGGAAGAGGTTCTTTCCAAGCGGGAGATGACCGAGCCTTTCAGCCTGTCGTCCGTGAGAGCCCCCATTTCTCACCCACAGATCCGTGGTAGGGATGCTCCCGGGGAAGCAGTTTCTCAAACCAACCTCTCCAGGTGCCAACTCTTGAAAAATCTTGTCGTGTGATAAGTTTGTTTGACTTTGACTTAACTTGGAAATAGTTACTATTTTGATGAGCAAACATACTACCAGGTGTATTGTGCTACTCTTGAAATTGCTGTTAGTATTTCAAGTATTGAGGACCTTCCGCAAGGGTGCCTGTTACCCTGGTCATCTGATACTCTGGCTTAAGAAGCGATATCAGCCCGGTTGGCATGGCTCAGAGGTTGAGCATCGACCTAGGATCCAGGCGATTGGGGTTCGATTCCTGGTCAGGGCACATGCCTGGATTGTGGGCTCAATCCTAGCAGGGGGCATGCAGGAGGCAGCTGATCAATGATTCTCATCATTGGTGTTTCTCGCTTTCTCTCCCTCTGAAATCAATAAAGACATTAAAAAAAAAAAGTGATATTATTAGTGTTATTTGGCAAAATGAAAATTTCCGTAGCACCCACTGAGAGCGCATGTTCTTTCTGAGTTTGAACGTGGGCCCTATTCCTAACAATTGCTCTAACTGCAGACAAAGAACCGAAAATCGCAGAAAGAGGAGTCAGGATGGGACTGGCCGCCACCCCGGAGGAGTTTGAAGCTATTGCTGAGGTGCGTAGGCCTCCAGGACAGGGCTGGGCGGGTCTCACCAGGGACTGTGAAGACATCAGGGAGCTGCTCTGCGTGCCCGGCCACCAAGGGGACACGCACCTGGCAGCCTCGCCTCGGGCACCTGCCCCATGTGACCTCGCCGACGGTTTGTCCGTGGCTCGTGCAGCTGGTGCTTGAGGGAAGGCCGTGGCCGTGGGGCCTAGGGCAGCGCTTCTCACCGGGCAGTCTGCTGACCCACTGACCCATGGAGACAAAAGCAGAAACTGACAGAGTAAAATACTTTTTATAGGAATTTGACAAAGGAACTTGCTGCCCAACGAATTTAATAAAATGAACAGTTTGGGGCTGTGTTTTGGTACATCTTGTTTTTTAATGTTTATTTGTCCAGTAATCAATTCATATTGTGTTTTACCAAAGTGTTGATCTGCAACAGACTAGGAAATAACAGTCACACCAGAGAGGTTCTCCTGTGAGGGAAGCACTGAGCTAGAGAAAGTGTTGCAGGGATCAGGCCAGACCAGGTACCCAGACCGGTGGCCCATGGGAACAGCCCTGGTTTTTTTAAGTCCTGACCCGAAGATATTTTCCATTGCGTTTCAGAGAGAGTGGGGGAGAGAGAGAAAAAGAGAGAGATCGATTGGTTGCCTCCCTTACCTGTCCGGGCCGGGGATCGAGCCTGGAGCCGAGGTCTGTGCCCTTGGCTGGAATCAAACCCGGGACCCTGCAGTCCGTGGGCCGGCGCTCTACCCACTGAGCCAAACTGGCCAGGGCTAGGCCTGGTTTTTACTTTAATGTTCAAGACACTGTTCCCGTCTCTCCTTTCTGAGAATAAATGGGAAGGCATCTGGAGGGATCTCAGCCCTGGCCCTGTGGCTGTTTTGATCAGGGCGTTTATTAGACCAGGGACCTACCTTTATCACTATTTTTAATGACGTTTCCCCGTTAGAGTCCCTCCACCCCGTGAGCCCCACGGGGGATCTAGGGTGGGAGAATTGTTGCTCCCTGCGGCCATGGCCGACACTTTTATATCTGTTGCCAGCTGAAGTCCAGCGCCTGGGATTTCTTGGTTCCCATGACGGAGCTGAGACCCGGGAAGCCTGCCTCCAGCCACAATTATTTCCTGGTTAATTCCCAGCAGACATGGACTCACCTGAGACTCAACATTTTCCCAGGTAAAGACGACGCTGACCCATCTCCAGGTCCTTTCTTTGGCTTCTTAATGTCGGCAGGTTTAAAAGTACCAAATGCAGTCACCCTTTCTTTCTTGGTCACCGGTCACTTTAGGGGTATAGTTTGCTCTTCCTGTTCTCTAGGAAATTCTTGTTTTAACCCATCCACCCATAGGGAGTTGTCAAAAGCTATGGAGTAAGTTAGTACGCGATGGAACTAAGGTGTATTAGGCTGGATGTCGCCTAAGAGATTCTGTTTCACAGGTGTGCCAGCAGCTGAAGGGGTGCGTACAAATGACCCCCATTTAATTTTACTTCATAACTGCTCTGTTGTGATTCACGAACCATGCAACGCATCCACTTAAATGGTGCAATCCAGTGCCTTATAGTATGAGGTTTAAAGGCTGTAGAAATATATAGAATATGTGTAACCGTCACCATAGTCAGCATTAGGACACTTGTACAGTCTCGGAAAGAAACCCCAGACCCGGCAGCTGTCCACCCTCCCCTCCGCCAGCTCCGACCAGCCACTGACCTGCTTTCTGTGTCCACTGCTCTGGACATTTCATATAAATGGTTGTTTGTGACTGGCTTCTCTCACTTAGCATAATGTTTTCAAGGCTTGTGTTTAGGATGTGCCAATACTCTTTCCCTTTTTAAAAAAAAACATTTCTATTGACTTTTAGAGAGAGAGGAAGGGAGAGGGAGAGAGAGAGAGATACATTGATGGGCTGCCTCTTGCTCGCCCCCTACTGGGGATCCAGCCCGAGGCCCAGGCATGCGCCCTGACCGGGAATCGAACCCAGGACCTCCTGGTTCAGGGGTCCGCAGTCAAACACTGAGCCACACCGGCCGGGCTGACCTGGCTCCTTGATTGCAGCTGACCTACGGGACCTGCGGTGCTGTCTCACTGTGGTTTCCGTCTGCATTTCCCTGGCGCTGATGATGTTGAGGATTTTTTTCAGCTGCTTAATTGTCTGCTAGTGTAGTTTCTTTGGGAAAAGGGTCTGTCCAGAGCTTTAGCCCATTCTTGAATTGGGTTTTTGCCTTTTATTGTTGAGTTAGAACAGGTCTCCCTGTTTTCTAAGTACAAACTCTTCACCTGATATATGATTTGCAAATATTTCCTCCGGTTCTGTTGGATGTCCTCTCACCTTCTTGATGGCGTCGTTTGAAGCGCAACGGTTCTTAACTTGGATGAAGTATGTGTGTTTTTCTTACGTTGCTCATGCTTTGGAGTCATTTAGGAAATCACTGTCAAATCTCAGGCCACGAAGAAACCCCCCGTGTTTTCTTTTAAGAGTTGATCACTTTAGGCTTTTAGATTTAGGCCTTTGATAAACTTTGAGTTAATTTTCTGTATGTGCTGTGAGGCAGGGATTCAACCTCATTTTCGCATGTGGATACCAGCTGTCTAAGGACCACTGTTGAGAAGACTCCTCTTTCATAAGTGGATGACTTTGGCCGCTTGTCAAAAATTAGTTCACTTAGGGACACATGGGTTTATTTCTGCATTTTAATTTCTTAATGATTTTTTATTTTATTCTTATTTCTTTTTAGAAGCATTACTCTTATACAGCTCTGCTTTCTTCCCCCCTTTTGGTGGCATTATTGTTATACAAAGTCCATCTATAAGTGTTATGAACCCAGTGATACATTGTTACAATTGTTTATATAATTTCATGTCTTCTGAAAAGGCTGGGAGAAGAAAGGAGAGCTGGTCTATACTTACTGAATTAATAACTCTTCTACTTACCCAAGTTTAGTTATATTAACCTTCCTAGTTATCATTTCTGGTTTTCTTCACTGATTCTGCGGGTTTGAGTTTCCATGTGGTCATTTCCTTAGCCCAGTGCAGCTGTGCTCCCAACAACCTGCTCTGTGCGATTACTGATAAATAGATCGCACATAGATTTCATGTCTTTATATTATAAGCCCATCAATACATGGAACACATACTATTTTATACGATTGGTTTTTTAGGCACTTGAAGAAGGGAGAGGAAGTAGTGTTTGTACCTTCTATTAGAATAATGACAGACGCCCCCTCCCTCCCAGGTGCTGCTGTGTCTTCACTGGCTCCTGGCTTGTGGTTAGTGGACACCACCTCCCCCCACCGTGGGGAGCGCCGACGCTTTCCTCGGGCCCCGGCCTTGGTGCCCGCAGTGGCCCTGAGGTGACAGTTTTGGCCACGCGCTCTCTGTCTCCTTCCCTAACCACACCCACAATTGCTCCTCTAATTGCCATCTGATTGCTCTCTCTTTTTCAACCCTGCCCTGGGCATAAATTGCTCTACATACCGATCCAATGTTTGGGTTTTTGACTTTTCTGGAGTTATTAATTCAATAAAAATGACCTCCTACTACGTGCCAGGACTGGTTCTAGGTAGAGGCGACAGAGGGAATGAGATAGGCAATGACCCTGGCCTCAACGATTTTATATTCTGGTGTTTGGGAGACACATTAGCAGGGACTTAAGTAAAAACCAAGATAACTTCAGACTGTGATTAGTCTATGGAGTAACTATGTGGGGGGCGGGGGAGTGGAGATGATAAACTTAACCTGGGAGGCCGGTGGGGGCAGGTGAAGTGGGGAGGAGATGTCTGAGCACGAGAGGGCGCCATTTCTGAGGCCACAACACGTAAGGTGAGACCTCAGAAGAAGCCTGCCTTTGGAGATCTGGAAAAGTTGTTCCAGGACAAAGGACTGGCACGTGCAAAGGCCCCGGGGCAGTGCGCTTGGTGTATTTGTGAATCGAAGCTGCTAAGTGTGAAGGAATTTTGCAGTTTATGATCCACAAACAGTTACTTTTCCAACTAAACAGTGACCGAGGCACCTTCTCTTTCCAGATGGTGGAGTCGCACGTCTCAGGGTTTACGGCATTGGACACAAAGACTGGGCTGCTACCGATCCCACGGAACCGATAGACCTGGTGGCCATGGCTTGCGGGGGTGCCTGTGTAGGATTTAGTAACGCGCATTTTGGGCACCCCAACAAAATGATAGGTGAGACGACACGCTCGAGGCTGGCTTGTGCTGGGGAGGTCTGGGCACTGGCATTAAACACCCCGTAGTCTATGACGGGGCCATCTCGAGGCCTGGAAGCCGACGAGACTAAGGGTCCATATGTAGGATTTGGTGCCTCCTGACATGAAGTAAGACAGGAGCCGTTTTCCTTTGTAATTTGGTGTAAAAGATAAAGTATAATTCACTGGCCCTGTGGTTGTACGTGACTTTGCAGGAACCTGAACTAAAGTGGAAGTAATTTATGCAGCAGGGCCCAGGTGCTCGGGGTCGGTGATGTCCTCACCCCGGTGAGCTCAGGCTCACAGCCACCCCACTCAGCGCACCCCGCTCAGCGACGCACCCCGCTTTCCCCCGCAGGAGCCGACCTGCCCAAGTCCGCGGCCGACGGCTGGGTGACGGCCAGGAGGCCCGACAGGCCGCCGGTGCTGGAGGTGAGGGCAGAGCCCGCCGTGGTTTACTCTCTAAAAGTGGCGGCTTTCAGCTCACATCAAGGCAATGCTTCCCTGAGACCCTCTTACGCTTTCTTCTAAATCNCCCCCCCCCGCTGCTGCTTTACGGCATCGGGCAGAGGCCCCGCAGGCCGAACACGCGCGTCCTCGCCACCCGCTCAGGTGCGTGCTGGAACAGCTCCTCGTTTCCCTAACGAAACAGGAGAATCGACCTACAAGGTGATGGTATAACTCCTGGGTAGGTGTATGGATAGACCTGGGGGAAAAAGTCGTTTTTAAATCTGTGTCCCTGGATGAGGCCCCTGTGGGAACGTGTGACAGACGGAGACTCTCGAGACTGCTCGGCTGTCTCACTTGGCTGGTCGCTAACCTGAGATAAAATCAGGACGGCCCTGGCCGGCTGGCTCGGTGGTTGGAGCGTCGGCCCCGGGGGGGGAAGGGTCCCGGGTTCGATTCCGGCGAAGGGCACGGACTCGGTTGCAGGCTCGGTCCCTGGCCCTGGTTAGGCACATGCAGGAGGCGACCAGTTGGTGTCTCTCTCACATCGATGTTTCTCTCCCTCTCTCCCTTCCACTCTTTCTGAAAAGCAATGGAAAAAATATCCTCGGGTGAGATTAAAAAATATATGTTAAAAAAAAGAAAATCAAGACAAAAGCGAAATAAAAAAACCACCTTCCAATTTGTAAATGCCACCGACAGCTTAGTCGGAAACACCTCTTTCTCGGGTTAGTTTTCACGTCTCCCAGCGCTTCCGGATATAAATGAATGAGCTCTCCTCGCTACGGCCTAAGGTTTGAAGGCAGATCAGATATTTCGGTTTAAATCTGACCGAGAACCTGTCTACTCGAAGGTCAGAACACACTGACGAGAGGCCCGCTGTGCGCGGCATCCTGCGTGAATTTATAACTGACATAAAAATCGTACTAGACATTTGTAAACATTTACCAGCTACCCAGCGAACACAGGAGCCAGCACGAGGCGTTTAAGGAGTGACAGCGAAGCGGCAACCGACACGGAAACGCACACCCCGGGTCACAACACGCATTGTAGTAAGGAATGAAGGAAGCAGCAGGTCCGTGTCCACACTGTTCACTGCCGGTCTCAGGTGGGTCCTGAGGCGCCGGCTGGTCACCCGTTTCCGCTTGAATTCCAGAGCGGGGAGGACGGCGAGCTGCTTGTTCCCGGCGGCGAGTGGGCCGTTTTCCGACTGGCACATCCTGGGGTGATAACTCAGATCGAAGTCGACACAACGCACTTTAAAGGTAAACGTAAAGCCAGGGGGACGTGCGGCTCAACCCGCGGTGTGCTGGGGACAAAGCCCAGGCTCCTGTGGGGTGGGGCTCAGGAGCGCGTGGGCCCGGCCTTTCCACTCCCCTGCGGGTAACTTGGAGTAAGTTACTTTAACTCTCTGTGCTCTGTTTCCCCGGTTATAAGATGTCAGAGTTGAACTGGGTGACCCCCCAAACTCACAGGAGACTCTACGATGCTGTGAGGCTCTTGACTGCAGGGCGCCGAATCCCATTCGGAACAGGAGACGCTCCGGGGTCAGGTCACGAGAGCCGGATGGAGGCGTCTTCCTGCGGGGAGGGAGCCAAAGCAGATCTCGGGGACTGATGACACCATTTCTTCCCTCGGCTGGGCTTTTAGGGCAAGGGGGCTACACATTTAAAATCGTTCACTTCCATAGTAAAAAAAATATTTGGGCAACCACCCCTGATTTTCTATACTTACTTTCTTATCAAATATCTTCGTGTGTCATTAAGGAAGTTCGAAAGAGTTTACTCAACTTTTATATTTGTAGGTGAAATTTTGATAAATATTGTGCCTCACAGTTGTTTGGTGTCTCTGAGTGAAGGGTGGTGGTTTACACTCATATTCGGGATGCCTGATTTTTAAATGTCTCCTCTCAATTATTAGCAATTGTTTCAAGGCCCCGGGTGTGCTTAGGAAGAGATCCCCCTTCAGTGGTCATGGACGGAAGTTAATTATTTCAAGGAGTCTTGATCGTAACTAGTTTTTGGAAGACTGTTAGTTTTTTAGTGTCACTTCTGGGCAGAAGTTTTTTTAAAAATTATTTTTATTTAAGTATAGTTGGTATACAATCTTCTATTGGTTATATTAGCTTCAGGTGTACAATACAGTGATTTGACATTTTTATACCTTAAATGTGATCACCCCACTAATTCTAGCAATCAGCTGTCTCTGTGTAAACTTATCACAATGCTGTTGACTATGTGCCCACCCCAACCCCTCCCTTCTGGTAACCATCCCTCTGGTCTCTGTTTCTATGAGTCTGTTTCTGTTTTGTTTTTATTTTTTTAAAATATATGTTTATTGATTTTAGAGAGAGGAAGGGAGAGGGAGAGAGAGAGAGAAACATCAATGATGAGAGTCATTGATCGGCTGCCTCCTGCACGTCCACGACTGGGGATCGAGCCCGCAACCTGGGCATGTGCCCTGATAGGGAATCGAACCTCGATCTCCCGGATCCTAGGTCGATGTTCAACCGCTGAGCCACGCCGGCCGGGCTGTTTGTTTTGTTTTTAGATTCAAACTGTGCCGAGGGAGAAAGTCACTCTTCATTCTGCTCCTACAGGCAACTCTCCGGCCAGCTGCACCTTGGATGGCTGCATCCTGACGACCCACGAGGAAGACGACATGATCAGGCAAAAGTGGGACCTTCCCAGCCACAGGTGGAAATCGCTGCTCCCAGTCACGAAGGTGCAGGACCAGCCCGGCCTGTCTGGGCCCGGCCCCCACACTTGCTTTCCGGAGGCCCCATACGACCCCAGACCTCCCGCTCAGTTTACTAGTAATGCCACCAAGCCTTTCAAAACCTTACCCGCACATTTACATAATAAAAAGGAGGGCTCCACTCTTCATACTTCTGCATATCTAACGATCAGATTTGGTTGTAAATCACCATGTGCAAAGAATATATACAGGGCGTTCCAAAAGGTGTATGCACTTTAACAGCTGATAACTCACTTAATTTTCATTCCTTTTCAGGTTTAACTGATTTGAAATAGTGGGTGAAGCCAGACTAAGCTTTGAACAAAGAAAATTTATCCTAAAGTGCCACTAGATTTTTTTTCTTAATGGGGATACATAAAAGATAAAGTTTATGGTACAAAACCATCAACAGTGGATGAATTGAGGGCCCACAGATACTGAATGAAATGATTCTTGATCTTTGTGATTCCATTACTTCCAGTGATCAGCAGGGCCTGGACCAGAAGGGTCATTGGTTGAAAATAGGCGTCGACAAAAAAGATTATTCAGTTCTGTAGATTCTTTTAAATTTTGAAAATGAAATGTTAATAAACACTGACTTTGTAATCATTCAAAGTGGGTATACATTGTTTTGGGACACCCTGTATATATGCAACAATGTTTCTGCATCACACTGACCTTTTAGAGAGGGTGACTAGCTTATTGAAAGCTGCAACAGTGTATCCACTGCGGGCGGAGGCTGAGCCGACAGAGTGTCTTCTTCGATCATCTGAGAGGGAGTCCCTGTGGGTCAGAGCTGAGGGTGCTGGCTGCTCCCACAAGGACGGGTGACAGCTTCTAACACCTTGTCCACTTCTTTTTCTTATCAGTTTGTGCACTTAATTGACTGTTAACAACACAGTCATGGCAGGGACTGACTATTGATGTCAGTCTCATCCCAGCATCCTTCCCACCAGCAGATTTCTGGGAAGCCAAGCTCTTGTCAGTGGATGACTTTTATTTTTTAAGGCCCCCAAGCCCCAGCTGGGGGGCTGTGCCGGGTGGGCAGCCCCTCTGGGGATTACAGGGCCTCTCCCACCGTCTCTCTTTCAGCTGTCTCCCGACCAGAGCCAGGTGTTCGACAGCCTCACCCCAGAGCTCCAGGACGTGGTCACCCACGCGAGGCTCACCATCTGCCCCGACGGGGGCATCGGCCGCCTGCGCCTCAAGGGCTTCCCCAGCTCCATCTGCCTCCTTCGGCCCCGGGACAGGCCCATGATGAGGTTCTCCGTGAAGGCCGGGTTCAGGTCCAGCCTTTGACCCACACAGAGCTGCTGGGTTCTGGACACACAGTGACAGAGTCACCTTCCTCTCTTGGAGTGCTTTGTTGAAAACCTGAACCTTCAGACGTCCCTGGCAGCTCATCTCTCAGATCAGTAGGATCCCTGGTGATTTAATAAAGTGGCCACTTGCGCTGGTATCTGTAATTCAGTGTTGCCGTGAAGGGTGGGGCGGGTTAGGAATTGGCTGGAGCTGGGAACGGCGGGTAGTTGCTTAAGGATGACATTTTTAAAAATACATATATTTAAAATATGTTTTTATTGATTTTTAGAGAGGAATGGAGAGGGTTAGAGAGAGAGAAACATTAATGAGAGAGAAACATCACTGATTGACTGTCCCCTGCATACCCCTTACTGGGGACCGAGCCCACAACCCAGGCATGTGCCCTGACCGGGAATGGAGCTGTGACCTCCTGGTTCATAGGTCAACACTCAACCACTGAGCCACTCCGGCTGGGCTAGCCTATTGTTTTTAAAAGTTTAAGCCATCAAAACCATTATTTCTAGATCATTCCTTGTTCCAGGTCAAAGGACTGACCTATCTTTACCCAGAACAGGGACTGACTCTCCCAGGGACACAGGCCACCTGGAACTGCTCGTCCCCAAATGGAGGGAGGCGCATTCCGAGTGTCCACCTTCGCGGCACCACGCACTCCCGCAAGGAGTAACCCAGTTCCCCTCAGGCAGGAACAAGGGAGACTCGGGTCTGGGCTGTCTTAGCTGGGAGCCACCAGCCACACTTGGTCACTTAAATTTAAACTAGTTAAAATTAATAAAATTAAATATTTAGTTTCTCCATCGTATCTAGGAGGAGGGGGGAGATGGCTGTTGCTCAAGGAGACAGCTGGCTTCCTCCGGGTGAGCTGAGGGAGGGGGCAGGGAAGTCAGCCAAGGATGAACCGTGACCTTGAGCCCTGCTGAGGGCACCTTGACATGGCTGAGCCGGTTCCCACCTCTGGGGAGCGGGGTCCTGACACCTCACAGGAGAGTCACAGGAATGAAGTGTTGCACCGGCCTGGAGGTGCAGGTGACAAAACCACACATGCTTCACTTCTCTATACTTTCATCACTTTACTCCTGGGCAGCTGGCAGGCCCAGCTACAGGGTCAGTCCTTCCAGACACGGGGCTTTCTGACTCGGGTCAGACTCCCCCACGCCTGACACCTGGGCAGGTAGACAGTGGGCATGGCTGTGTGAGGAATGGGTGACCGGGTGAGCCCTGCGCTCAGCACCCACCAGGAATTAGGCCTTTTTCAGACAAACAGTCCTGAATCTGACCCATTATTTAAACCAGGCCAAAGTCAACAGTGAACCGTCTGCCCAGCTGCACGCACCACGTGAGCCGTGTCATCTCCACGTTTACTTTGCATAGATTTCCACGTTCAGGGCTTGGGGCACAGCCCCTGTCTTCCCAAGTCCCCACACTCTCGCGTCCCCAGGATTTGGGGACCAGGGGCACTAAGCTCCGACCGGGTCCAGGCTTTGGCAGCGATGGGGGAAGCAAGTTCACCGTGTCCTGCATGAGCAGAGGGGTGTTTTTCATGCTGAATGTTGGGATAAAACCAACGGGAACATAGCTCATGGTATTGCAGCAACTGAGAAAAAAACACTGGAGGGAAGTAAAACAATATAAAATACAGCAGCAACTCATGCGATGAGCAATCCATTTTCCTGTCACGTCACATCGGACCACGGGCAGAGTGTCACTCCCAGTATTGCAGCCGGGGCTTGGCCGCAGGAGACGTGGCTGTGGCATCTGGATGTCAGACCGTTTGTTTCCTGCTTTCATCACAAATCATTCCTGCAGCCAAACACGGGGCCACGGAAATGCAGGTGCCCACTCCCGGCTGCTCTGGGCACGGAGGACCGACAGCCCAGGAGCCGGGCTGCAGGTGCCCGCATGGGCCGGGACGTACCTTCCCGCGGTCCTGACGTTGCCTTGCCCAGAGGAAGTGCCCTAGGGCGTGTCCACCCCATGTCCACCTTTCCTCCATTCTCCTCGTCTGTCAAGGTCCTTAGGATGGAAGGGGTCACCGTCCCTGCAAACCCTTTGACCCAATGATTGGCCGCTGATTTTATTTTGGACGCTTTTCAGAGTTCATTTGTTTCTAGGCTAAAAATGAAGGATAATTGTGCAATAAATAAAGGAATGGCAAGAAATCAAGGGCAAGTCCTTCTGTAGGCAATCCAACCGGATAGTCTTCGCTTCATTGTTACCATCTGGTGGGATGTAGACGCTGCAACATTGTGGCAAGTGGAATTCACGGGGATACATTTTATTCTTGGACACAGACCCGGGGCCCTTGTTAGTCTGAGCGAAGGTTACAATCACATACAACGCACAGCAGGACTTTGCCTGTGGCTCTTATTATTTTTCAAGCATGTTGAGTATTAATTTTTAAAAACCCAAGTGTAGATAATATCCTGGAAGGAGAGAGTATTTCTTTGTTAAATGGCTCTAAAAGAGTAATGGTCCCACGGAAGGAGGGCTGTTACCTAGAAAAGGTTCCAGGTTATTTGGTTATTTTGGAAAAACATATAAATAATAAAGATGCAGAAGCATAAGGACATTAGTGAGGTGACATTAATGAATTTTTAAAATCTTGGGTCTTTATTTTGTTTTGAAGCCTCATACCCTGTTTCCTGGGATACAGAGCACACACCGCAGCCAACAAACAAAGGTCTTCAGAGGATTTACTTTCTAAGGTACAAATAGAGATCATATTTGGAAAAACAAAGACTTGGAAATGGAAATCTACAGTTTAATGATAATTTCCATGATTTCAGAATTTAAATCACAGGTGCATGAAGGAGCTCACAGAAAACATTTCTCCCTTTCCTGTTTAAGGTAAGAAAGAGGGTTTGGGATCTGTTTTTGAGCCCAAGAAAAATGTTGCGTTGACTAAGGCTGGGGAGGCAGGAAGCATCCCAGGGAAGCCGGGAATCGAGGATGAGCGAGGGAGGAAATGGCCACGTCGTGTGTGGAGGGGCACGTTTCTGTCACTAGCTGGGCCCCTCGGAGACGAATGTTACAGTTTAGTGTCGGTGCAAAGACACTGGGCCAACCGAGGGCGCTCACCTGGCAGAGCCGTCCACCCTCGGGGCAGGGCTGGGTGGTCATCTTCCGTGCTTTTCATTTTAAAATGTGAAACGGTTTGAGTACTTGGTGACCGTGGTGGTCAGATCCCAGAGAAGAGCACAGCTGTCCCCTCCTCAGGCCCGTGACTCTCTGAGCCGTCACTGTCTCATTGGAAACGTGGAGCCGGGAGCACCTCCCTGTCATCTCATAGGTTTCTCCTTTGTTTTTCCAAATATAATCTCTATGTGTACCTTAGATGAACCGTAAGGAAGACCTTTCTGAGCTGAAAATGCACAAACACAAGGTGCTACTGTTGCTCTGTGTTTGGAAAACTGAGCCCAGTTGCTCACGGGGTTTGCTGTGGAATCGTATTAAAAATTAAATCCATAAGTTCCTTTGATAATATTTTTTTGTTCCAGAAGATAAATATCATAGTTTCGAGAATACTCTCTGTTAACTATATTTTTTGAGGGCTCACAAGGGAAAACAGGAGGTAAAAGCACGGATTCCCTCAGATGTTTGGGGAGTGGTGCACGTCTGACACTCGGGGTTCCGGTTGAGAGAGATTCCCTTTCTTTGAAAAGCGTCATCAAACATGTAAAGACCTTAGTTGGTTTTCTTTTTGTAGTAGGTATAATACAGACATGCACTTTTAAAGCTTCTCACTGTATGTAATGAATTGCTTTATTTGAAGATATCGGGTGAAGGGGGTCTGAATATATGGTGACGGGAGAAGGTGTGACTTTGGGTGGTGGGCACACAGAGCAATATACAGATCTCGTAGCATAGAAACCCACACCTGAAGCCTATACGATCCTATTAACCAATGTCACCCCAATACATTTAATAACAACAACGAAAAAGAAAATATTAACTGCTTCTTGTGTGGCTCCATTTCAGATTTAATAAAAAGATGTTGGTTGGAGTTAAATATCTCTGGGGTCTGAACTTGACCATCTGTTATCTTTTTTTTAAGATGGAGCTTTTGATAATGTGTTTATTTGGTTAACAGTCATGTCACAATGAGACGTCCCACGTAGTAGATCTGTCCCGTTCCCTTTACCTCCCGGCTGGAACCAACAAATACCCATTGACCACGGAAGGGAGGTGGGCTCAGTGGGGCGAGGGGCGAAGACCCAGACGCCATAAACCCATCCGGGAAAACGAGTCCCGTCAAACCATCAGTAAGTCAGAGAGAAGAGAGTGTCAGTTTCTGTTTTGCGTGGGTTACTGTCTGCGTGAAGCAGTTAAAGGATCCAGTTTTTGAATAGTCGTAGGTTAAGTTCTGAACCAGGCACTTGAATCCATAAATAAAGTTGGGGGACCACGGTGCCTGTGATTTAAGGTGTCTGTCACAGGCATAATTTATATCTGTGCATTTGAAACATAGGCTTTCTAACTTAATGATAAATACTGGAAGCCGCTTGCTCTTTCCAGGCTGGGAGCTCCTGCTTCGA